AATACAAAAAATAATTGAAATACATCGTATCACAGCCTATACAAAATCTTGAATACTGATCAAAGTTATAAATCTGATTAATGGGTGATTACATTTCAAATGAATGACAATAACAAATTACTACATGTACCAATTAATTCGTACCATTTTTCTTATAAGTAAAATCACCCTGCTTAATTTTTTACGAACATTTTATGCAACGACAACGACACAAAAATCCTCAAGAAGGAGTCGAAAGTGTACGAGAAAAAAAAAGACCCGGGGTAACCGTATCTCTGTCGCGCGGCGAATAACGACGATGGATGATGATGAACAGGTGGAATAAGAGATACCATTTCGTCGGTGCTCGGGGCGCTAGCAGGGGTACCAAGTGGTCCCGTATTATCGGGTCCACCTCCATTGGGGCCGACGATCGCGTTACCAGTAAGGCCAAGATCAACGGTGCCGGGGTTTCTCATCGGCGCAGCGATATTACTGTACACCGGGCCACGATAATCGTAAGCGCCTTGGTTAGCCTGGTTATAATACGGTCTGGGTGGTGGCCGGTTAGTGGTAGTGGTAGTGCTAAGTGAGAACACAACCTCGACCGGGTTCCTAGGTGGATCCGGTATTATCGTTCCGTTTGGGAATTTCCGGATCAGCCTGCCGTCCGGGAAGATACCGAATATCACGTACGGGCTGTCCACGTTCCTAGCGTCGATGAGGTTGTCCTCTGGCCGCTTCCTCACGATGGTTTTATTAGGATATATCCCATAAACCAGATAGTCCCTCAACGGAGCTCTGGTGGTCGAGCTCAGGCTGAAACGCGGAGCAGGCGTCAATCGGCTGCCACCGAATCTGCCCAGATACGGCGTCGTGCGACTCGGGACAGTCGACGGTGTGGTTGTTTCACTGAAATTGTTCATGCCACCCATTGTGCTCGTTTCTATCGTTGTCCCAGCTTGAGTCGACGTTAAATTCTCTTGAGTATCGTTGCTCGCAGGTGTCGTCGTTTGAGGAACGCGTCCTATAGCAGTCGACGTCGTCGTCGTCGTCTCAGTCGTCGTCGTCGCTGTCGTCGTCTCGACCGAAGATGATGTGGTCGTCGTAGTGGATGAAGGTAGCGTAGTGAATGAGGGAGTTGTGGAGGAATCTGGGATCGTGGAAGTGGAGATCTCAGTCGTTTGGCCGATTCCTGAACCTGCCGTCCCTTGGGCGGTTGCTGATGACGAATCCTGGAAACGGGCAACAACAGTTGGAATTTCGTTCTCGAGGTACGGAGTCGTTTGGGGGACTATTGTCGTTTCGCTGGGTGTATTAGTCATTTCCATGGTACTTGTTGTTAACGGGTTAGTAGTGATTCCATTCATCGAGTCCGGCGTCACGGTTGTCGTTTCGTTATCAATTTCTGTGGTAAACATTTCTGTTGTAGACGAAACGGATTCTGTCGTTTGATTAATCTCCAAGTTATTGAAACGTGGAGTCAATTCTACGGTAGTGGGTGTCACCGTGGTTTCGATATTCGTTTCAGGGGTTGTGGTACTATTTACAATGGGAGTGATGGTCTCGATCGTGGTAGTTGTTTCTGGTTGATTAGTGCTAGCGTCTGTCACAAGCTGTGCTGTTACAGTCGTTAATGGAACGGCTTCCGTGACATTATTTACTTGTTCAGAAGTCGTTATTAAATTAGAAGTTAAATCGAGTGTGTTAGTAGTTGGCGATGGTGCGGTTGTCGTTTCTGAAGTTTGTGTGGTTGTCTGTGATTGAGTCGTGGTGTCAATGCCAGTGTCAAACGATCCTCTGTTCGACGGGGTGACCTGTGGCCCGGCTTCTGTCGTCGATTCTACGTTAACTTCAGTTGTTTCTACATTTTCTATCTCGTTATCGGATGTGATATTCTGAGGGGTGGTCTGTGTATCTGTCAGGGTGTCCGACGTGGTCGTGGTCGTGAGGTTCGCCGAGTCTACCTCGTTTTGCGAGGGATCAACCGTGACAGTTGAGAAATCTACGCTTTCTGTCGTCACATCCGAAGCTTGGGTCGTGCTTAACGCGTCGCTCGGCAAATTCGGATCTATCTCGTTCTCCATCAAGTTCTCTAGTCTAGTAGCGTTCGTAGTTTGCTCGGTCAGCATTCGCTCGGTGTCAATCTCTTCCGAAAGGAGTGTCTTGGCGATCGACATTAACTCTGTCAGTAAAGTATCGTTGGTAGCAGTGACCGTTGACGTTGTGGTGACTTCAACGTCGGGCGAGGTACTGTTAACAATTGAATCTGTGTTCGATGTTGTCTGAGAGTCTTGTGTTGTGGTTGTTAATGTTGTTGACGTAGTGGATGCATTTACATCGTCCTGAGTGCTGGCTTCCGTAGTTGGTGTCGTGATAGGGACTGAACCTATTAAGATCCTGGGCGTCGTTTCAGCATCTTGGTCAATCGTCTTCCCGTCTCTAAATTGCGACTGGTTTTCGGAACTCGGTATCGCGTTCGATATCTCAGTCGTTGAATCTTCAGCAGGTGCGGTGGTCATGTTTAAATTAGCTTGCAACCGGGCCAGAATATCTTCAGCGAAATCGATCAATCTGTTTCGGATCGTGGTCGCAGGCATCGCAGTGCTCGTTCCTACGTCGATCATGTTACTCGAATCAGCTTCAGTCGTCGAGGCTTCCGTTGTCGTTTCGGACATCGGTATTGTATTATTCTCGGCAGTCTCGGTTGTACTAGCTTCTGAAGTAGCGTCAATCAAATTTTGTAAAGTTTCTCCGAACCTAATGTCAAACTGAATTTGCGTCGTACTTTGCATTTCGTTAGGATTTACTGTAGAACTTATATTTGTATCAGACTCCGTGGTAGTTATAGACCCCTCAGTAGGAACATTTATCATGGAATCGTTATCAGTAGACGAGGAAATCTGTGCGTCTGTGGAAGACGCGGAAGTGCTTGTAGTCGCATCTGTGGAAGACGTGGAAATGCTCGTTCTCTTTGGAGGTCTCCGGGGTACTCTGGAGGTAGTCGCGTCTGTGGAAGACGCGGAAATGTTCGTAGTCGCGTCTGTGGAAGACGCGGAAGTGGTTGTAGTCGTGTCCGTGGCTCGTGTACTCGACTCTGTACTAGTTTCAGTTGTGGTGATCGAATCCGTGCTCGTGGAAACTTGTTCGGTAGTGGACTCGCTGCTGGTGGAGGCTCGTTCGGTAGAGGTAGAGGAAAGTTCGGTGCTGGTGGAAACCGATTCAGTGGTCGTGGGGGTTTCGGTGGTTACGAGGGTGGAGTTCTCCATCGCATCGGGGGTCTGTGTGCTATCCGGTGTTGTGTTCGCGGTGGCGTTTGGGGTCTGTGGGCCGGTGGTGGTCGCTAGATCGGTGTCATTGTTAGCGGCCACGGTTTCGTTAGTGTCTACCTGGGTAACCCGACCAGCTTCCAACACAGCCTGTAACTGTTCGTTCCTGATGCTGGCCGACTCCAACGCGTGATAAAGCGTCAGGAATCGCGGCTCACCGGGACTCGAGACATCGATTGGGGGTGCCGAACCGGAGTTCTAGAAAACAAAAATTTCGTGCGTGCAAGGGTGCTATACAAATTAAACTGGGTGCCCACTGGTGACTCTCTGTACAGTTCCTACGTTGCATTGACACACACTGACTGGGTGTATTTACAGTAATTCATTTATTGTTGAGTACACGTTGTTGTTCGTTCTTGTAAGAATGTGTAGTGTTGGAATGAAAATGTTTCCTCTTTTGAAAGTTAGGTATTCAACATTTTCCAGTGTGTTAAATACAAAACATTTACAGCTTATACACATACATAATTTGTACTAAAAATTAAACGTAGCTGTTTCAAGATTGAATTCAATGATCACTAAATGTCTTTTTTAGCACTTCAAATATGTCAGACAAATTAGGATCGACTGATGTACGGTTTCAATTGATTTTTCTTAGAATGATTTTTTATCATTTTTAATTAAATGATCCCTTAATTGAATGAGCATGCACCATCTTTTGGTAGTGATAGGAACTAGCTGAAGAAGAAGAGAAACCGAGGTTGCTCTGAGACCGCGGTATTAGTGAAGTAGATAGAAACTCGTTCCTCGACGCGAGGTATTCGTTGATACATGTAACAGCGAGACTGGTTGCCCGCTCACTTCTATTTTTTCCCCTTTTCATCAACGATTTCCAGCCAGCTGTTTATCCTCTCTCACAGAGGTCTCCAGCGATATGCTTTAACAACATTTAATCAAAGCAATAGCGAAAAATTGATTCTAATTTCCAGATTGTCCCGAGAAAACTGAGCTAACTTAAACATCTGTCTAAACTAAACGTCTGTACATTTTTTCAAATCAGTTAAACGCATTCACAAGAACAGGTTTTGAAATGAAATTCGGAAAATTTGTTGTTACCAAGAAGAAGTAAATTCGTGACCATAAATTCTCTTTTTGTTGGTTTAATTTTACTGATGGACCCACGTGACCCAGATACCAATGTGCTGAGACAGTATTAACGCGAACACAGTGTCTATTTACTTTCACTCGTTGCCGTCACGTGAAGTGTACGAAAATTCGTTCACGTAAAAGAAAATTAAAATCTTGCTACAATATTTATTGAATTGATTAATCGTATTGTTCATTCAATTTTATTTGAAGCGTTGAAAGTATTTAATTGATTCACGTGAAATACAGTTTATATACATATTTGAGAAGATTTGTTCATGCTCCCCAATTATGGTATTACTTTATTTAAGTCAGAAGTTTATCGTAAGAGAAAAATTATTTATGGACGCGATTAAATAAGAACGAACAACTGCATGTCGCGTGCGATGCAAGAACCAAAATATTTATTACCAATAATATATGTATGTGTATGTATAATCTTGTTTGCTTAACACATATAATACGTATTACGGTGATAGTAACAACGTAAAGTACCTGTACACATTAGTAAATGCGAACCCAATACAACAACGTAAATCACAATACTAACATTAAACATTAATCACAAAAAGGACGGTTATATTATTTTTTGTTTGCTTTTCCTGGTTACTTATATCTTTTTTTTTTTATAATTTATCTTTTGATTTTTTTTAACATTAATGAATATGATAGAATTGTATTGTTTGCATGGAAGTCATTCGAAACCATGTTTGGTAATTATTAGTAGCGAATCTGATGAGCTATCTGTGCGTTTGATTAGTCTAACGCAGATTAATTATTAGATTGCGAATTTTTCATGGGACATCAATGGTCGAATGATGTTTAGAAAATTAAATAATGATTTGATGTTTAACTGACGCTTTTTCCAAATTCCGGTTAAATACAATTTCACATTTCATACTCAATTTGTTATGAAACGACAAATGATTGATGCGACATTTAAGTTCGTTCGATTTAGCATGAAAATTCGCAGTCTATCAATTAGCATCGATGAGATTAGAATCGAGACTTCCGGTCGTGGTTGCGATGACCCGATCGGTCCACGATGGCGGTGCGACTACTGCCTCCATCTCCTCCGCTACCTTCCTGGTGAAAACCTTTTGGGAACACAGAAAACAAAAAACAAAACGGCCACACTGACTCACACTGTCCAGTTAACCAGCTTACTTACAACTTTCTTCTGCCACGTAATCTTACCTCTTACGATCCATTTCTTTCTCACATTTATGCACGTACTTACGTACGACCTTTCGTACTATTTTAACGCCGCTTTACGCGGCACTCTTTCGTCAGATGAATTTTGCATCACGAAATATTTACACGTTATGAAACATTATTGATATATGAAATATTTTAAACAACTATCAAATTATGCGACGAACTAGACG